GTAAACGTGGAAACGCGGAATGTGGGACCGCGTAAAGTGAGGGTTGACTGTAGTCACATTGTATCATCATTATCATAATAATACAAGGAAGATAACATTTTCTTCCAAACAAAATCAATTTGACTCATAACTGTGATATTTCAGTATCTCAATTTAATATACATTCATATTAATGCCTCCTATTGTTCTGATGAGTCACTAACGAGACAATCATAAACAACTAACTCACTTTATCATACACCTCTCCCTTCTCTTATCTCAATTGCCCCTCAGCTTACTGAACTCTGCTCCTTGATCAAGCTAAGATTCAGTTCAGAGCAATCATAATCATCATCAAGGTCAGTGCATTCGTTCGGCCATGATAGAAGTCAATGTGATCTTACCCTATTGGCGGCCATGACAGAGTTCAGTGCGCTCATAGCCTTAGGATATTTTCAGTGATCACTCCGTTCTCTGTTTGTTGCCATCCAGGTCGCACAGACATCACCGAGTGAGCATCGAGACTCCCGGTAGGGTTGACAGCGCTTCGTTGGCCAACATCGCTCACTTTTCCTCTAGCGAGATGTATTGGGCTGAGAAATCCCACCATCTGAGTGGTTCTCATGTAACCCATGGCTGATGATACAAAGTTCAACCCAACATAACTCTAGATTGCTCGTAAGAATGGCAGGTCGGCTAAAGTTCGCCGAGGAAGGGCTGAACCCGCTACTGAGGACATGAATAGAATAGAGCTATGAAGAGAAAAACTTAACTCTGGCCTGAATGCTAAGAGTAATCATAAAACCCAGGGAGGAGGGAAAATCACATCCCACAGGGCGGCAGCCCAAAACATTTCGTGAATGAACATGAGGAGAGGGGAGAGGAGGATGGAATGGCCACATCCACCATGGTAACTCATCACAACACTGGCATGGTAATAGTTGGGGCTAAAAAAACAAAAAACATACATACATACATACATACAGTGAACACAGCCCGTGATAAAGGAAAATATGATTATACATAATCTTACATACGGAATGTGAAAAAATTATAAGGTCAAAATCAAAGGGAATAAACATTTCTTACATGCACGGGACTGGGGAGCGGAAAGAGGGAGGAGGGTTGGTGTAAGGGATCTCTGTCTCGTGTCCCTTGTGTAGTGAAACAATTGCTAAATGGCAAGACAGTATTTTTTTCTTTTCTTTTATTTATTATTATTCCACACTCAGTAGTAACGTACAGTATACACACAACACTGTTCAGCCAGGCAGTCACCCAGCTGACTCAAGAGACGTGTGTGACTGCTGGCTGTGTATGTCGTGACGTCATATGGGGGAAGAAGAATGTGGGTGGCCGTAGTTATGACTCATTGCCTCAATACATACAGTACATTCACTTGCCACACATACACACCCGTGCTCTTCATTTTTCTTACTTTATATATTTTTTTATTTCTCAACCACATTAGAGTACAGTATGTCCGCGCTTAACGTCATTTCGCTTGATGTTGTTTCGGTACTATGTCGCTAAACTTAAGAGACCAAAAATTCGTTTAACGTCCTGGTGATCCAATACTACGCCGTTTTGCGTCTTCACGGACTACTTTCTACGGCGCATTACCCTTTCACGTCTGGCCCCGCTACACTCTCTCACGGCTCGGCGCAGAGTCTCAGTGATTCACCACCCTCCTCCTCTACTGCCCCCCTTCGCTCCCACCCTCCTCCCCCCCCCTCCCGCCACCCTCCTCCTCTACTGCCCTCCTTTGCTCCCACCCTCCTCCTCCGCTTCCTCCATACTCCTCCCCTCCCGTCACCCTCCTCCTCTACTGCCCTCCTTTGCTCCCACCCTCCTCCTCCGCTTCCTCCATACTCCTCCCCTCCCGCCACTTGCCTACTCTGCTTCACTACCCACCACACACTCGCTCTCCCACCTCCGCCCATTGGTGAGTATCAATACAAAGTTAGTACTGTACGTAGTTGTATATGTATGCACTATTTTCTATTGAAATGTCAATGATTTTCTGTTTATGTAATGTATTTCATGGGGCAAAGGGAGGCTCAGGAACGTAACTCCCATATTTTATCTATTTCTTATGGGGAAAATTGATCCACTTTACTTTGTTTCATATAACGTCGCATTTTTAGGAACGTAACCCAGAGGTTAAGCGAGGACTTACTGTATTGTAATGGTGCGTACTAGGAGCACAAAATCCCCAATTTTTTCTGACTTTCCTCCCGAGTTTTTTACATCGCTAAATCAAATTTTGACTTATCATTAAACATTCATTGTGAATGAATGTTAAACAAGGGATACCTGAATATAAATATTTTTTTTAATAAAAGGTACCAAGAGGAAATAATAAAGGTTCGTTGAATTTTTGTATGCTGTACATTACTGTATTCTTTACCATACAAGATGTGCATTTTGATGGTTAGGAATGAGAGGAAAAGGAAACCCTCCCACTAACAGAAACCTCCCAATAACAGGCAGAGCTTGCATGAATTAGTCCAGTATTGGGAGGATTTACTGTTGTCTGTGTGTGTGTGTGTGTGTGTGTGTGTGTGTGTGTGTGTGTGTGTGTGTGTGTGTGTGTGTGTGTGTGTGTGTGTGTGTGTGTGTGTGCGTGCTTGCGTGCGTGCGTGCGTGCGTGCGTGCGTGCGTGTGTGTTCCTCAATGCCGTCATCAGAAAACCTAAAACGAGACCCTGGCCACATTGAAAGTAAACACCAGGATTGCATCGATGAAAATAACCATGAAATCAACATACTCGTCAGTGGTAAACATGTTACTTTCACTGATTGGCAGAACAACCGTCAGTCTTAGACCAAAGCTGATACCTTCCACAAGAAAAGAGCGGAGGCCCAGCGCGAACTTCACAATCTAAAGAACGACTGGTGGAAAAGTAAAGCGTGTGAAATGCAAAAAAATTACAGATCAACACAAGATGCGTGAATTTTTAAATTCCTCTTAAATAATGTATGGCCCAATTACTCATGGAACGGCCCCTGCTCCTCATCCAACGGTAACTCCCTAATTAAAAACAAAGAAGCACAACCATCTGCTACTCAACTGAAACACCGCTGTGGATGTCTTTACTACCCAGCAGATCCCTCAACACCCAGAGCTGACCCACTTCAGCTGTCCTCCATCCCTAGATGAGGTAGCTACAGCCATTAAGCAGATGAAGAATAACAAAGCCACAGGGCCTGATGGAATCCCAGCCGAGTTGTATAAAGCAGGAGGACCTCTGCTTACCAGCCATCGCTACCATTTTCCTGGAGAATAATATGGGAGACACCTCCATCATCAATATTTATAAGAACAAGGGAAACTGGTCAGACTGTGGCAACTACCGCGGGATCTTGCTGCTGTCCGTAGCTGGCAAGATTATCGCCTGAGTCCTCCGAAACCAGTTTCTTCCTGAGGTGGAAAACTTCTTCCCAGAATCTCAATGGAGCTTCAGACCATCACTTGGCACCACTGACATGATCTTTGCAACCCGCTAGACACAGGAAAAGTGCAGAAAACAGCATCTTGTCTTGTGCATGACCTTTTTGACCTTACTAAGGCCTTCGACTTGGTCAACAGGGAAGCCCTCTGGCAGACCCTCAGTCGTGTTTACTACCCACCAAAATTCATCACCATTGTGAGGCAACTCCACAACAGTATGAACAGCAGTGTCCTGCACAATTGCACACAGTCTGAGTTCTTCCCCATCTAAATGGGGGTAAAACAAGGATGGGTACTGGCACCAACTCTCTTTTCCATTTTCTTGGCTGCCTTCCTTACTCGTGCCAGTGCCAATTTAGCCGACGGGGTGGACATCCAGTACCAGATGAAGGGACTTCTCAACGTAAGACTACTCCAGGCAGGAACAAAGGTGTCAGCAACTTCCGTTACTGAACTTCAGTATGCAGATAACCTCACTCTCGCTTCTCAAACTGAATGCGACCTACAGGAGATCCTGAACACCTACACGGATTCGTGTGCACACTTCAGCCTTGAGGTGAATGTGCCTAAGACTCGGATACTCTTTCAGCCTGCCCCTGGTTCAGCCACACCTCCACCATCCATCCAGGTTAATGGTACTATTCTCTACAATGTTATCCACTTTCAGAATCTTGGCTCCCACCTGTCCACCACCGCGGACATCAATGAAGAAATTTAATATCGGATCAGATGTGCATCTCAAGCCTTTGCCGTACTCCATACCTGTGTCTTCAGCTGTAGGGAGCTGAAAGTATATAGAAAGTTGCACGTATATCGAGACATGGGTCACATACAGGAGACACCTCAAGGCACTTGAAAAGTTTCACCAATGTAGTCTACGTTCCATCCACTGAATTCACTGGGAAGACACCAACGGTAGGAGCATCGAGGCTACCATTATGCATGAGCAACTACATTGGACTGGCCGTGTTACCCGCATGGACGACAGTAGGCTGCCAAAGTAGCTACTTTACAGTCACCTAACATATGGTAAACGTAATGCTGGCGGGCAACGTAAGAGGTATAAGGATAGTGCGCTGAGGTGTCACAGGAACTCATTCATTATGTGTCATCACAGTGTCATAGTGCCATGGGTACACTGCATGGTTTAGTGTTGCAGTACTTTGCTTACTGTCATGTGTTTTTATGGGACATTACAGTTTGGTGTGGCGGTCAACATTTGCTATACCCTCAACAATTCCCAGTGTGGACTGGATTAGTGCTCGTCACATAGTCATAGTCAGCAGGATTTGTTGGTTCTCACAGTCACTTCTCACATGGTTTCATACAGTAGAACCTTTTTGGTGGATGTGAAGGTCAGCTTGGCCCCAACCCTTGGCTGTTGTTGTTTAACCCTGATTATTCTGGTGGGATTTTGTTGATATCACAGTGACGAGGAGGGGTACGGGTGGGGGGGGGGGATGGGAGGTAGGACCAACATTTTGGCCAAGGCAGTACAGAACAGTGCCGTATGTATATATAGTATGTACAGTATAATTTATTTTATTTTATTTATTTATTTTTTGCAGGCCAAGTGCTGGCTTCGTCGGGTGGAACATTGAAACTATGGAAGCATGGTTAGGTGCACTTGGGTTGAATCAGTACTGCTCAGCTGTCCGTGCTTGGTCATCATCAGGTCATCACCTGTCTCGAGCCACACCACAACAACTGGAGCGAGAACTTGGTATTCGTCATCCATTGCATCGAAAGAAATTACAGTTAGCAGTTGCAGCAAGATTATCTGGGGACCAACTTAACACTCCACTTGCTCGATTGGACCATTCCTGGGTACTGCGTTGGCTGGATGATGTTGGCCTACCACAATATAAAGATGCTTTCAGTGAAGCTCGTATTGATGGGAGAGTTCTCAACTGTTTGACATATGATGATTTGTCTTTTCTGCGCCTCTCAAACCTCTTACATGTGACATCTCTCAAAAGAGGTATTCAGGTTAGTAAATTACAAATACAGTATATCAATAGAAGAAAAGGTACACTGTGTTTATATATATTTATATTTTCATTTACATTTTAATGCTTAATGTAGTGGTGATATAATGATGCAGTGATTAGAATACTCTGCAAACTTCCCATGATTTGAATATCCTGTAAAATTCTAAGTCACAGGTTTTTTGCTTAGGCTGTTTCCATAGCAAATAATGCCCATGTTAACAGATGGGATTAAAAATTCACAGATACTGTGAGGATTTGTGTATGAACTTTCTCTTATGGGCCAGAGTGGTTATAAGTGCTTGAAAGCTACTGTATGGGTTCCAACATTTTAACCTGAATCTTCATTAGACTTTGAGACTTTTAATGATTCTAATGGGATCGATTTCACCCTGAACCATCTAGGTGAGAAAATTTTATTCAGTAAAAACTATCCTCTGGTATTTTCTACCTGGATAATGAGCTTGTCATTAAACAGCAGATGGGTTTTGCCTGGAAGCATCTCGTAGTTTGCTTCTCAAAGGACACTAATTTCTTCTTGATCATAAAATGGAGGTTCATCTTTAGAATTTTGGGATAATTGTAACATAAAGTAAGTGATTTTGTGATGATTTATTTCTAATGATTCCTTAAAGGTGTTGAGAGAACACAACTTTGATCCCTCTGTGCTGAAGCGACGTTCAGTGCCAGATGAGGGTCAAAGAACTAGAACAGCAGCTGAAGTTGCACTGTGGACAAACCATCGGGTCATGGAATGGCTAAGAACTGTTGACCTCTCAGAATATGCTCCCAATCTAAGAGGCTCAGGTAAGTTGCTTAATGTTCCTTATTTCAAAGTGCAAGAACCTTCTCATAGTCAGGTTAACAGCATTTATTAGTTTAGTATAATAATGGAGTTTTTTACTTATTCTTTAAAGTAATCTTTTACTTAATTCTGTATTTATTTTTTAATTTCATTTTTTATTTTGTACGTATTATTGTAATTTTCAACATTACTTCATTTGTAAATATTCTCAATTATTTATATTACTTCACATTGTCAGGCTTTAAGTCAGTATTATTATACTGTTTCTCATATTCTCAATACAGTAAAATCTCTATAAATTGGACTTCAATATATTAGAATTTGCATATTTTGAACTCTCTGAGGTGCTCTGGACCATTCCTCTATTCACCAGAAACATTTTTAAAACCTCTGGAAAATCCAGCATCAGTCCAGACGGTTTGTGTGTTCGTATGATTATGTGGTTGAACGTCTGTGAGTGGGTTTCGTGTGGCACGTGTGTCACTGTCTCAGAGTCTCAGTCTGAGTCTTGCCTTTATATGTATACAGTGATATCCCTGTTGGCTGGAACAATTAGTACAGAGCACTTCCGGGGATGAGAGATTTTCGGCAAACCAGACAACTTCCTCGAACTGGGAAAAATTCCTTATCCCCAAAATCTTTTCCAGTTACTGGGAAAAGTTTCCAGGTGTCTAAACTAGACATCTTGTACAGACAGATACTAGCCCACTTCCCCAGAATGTTTCTTGGTGCTGGGATGTTTCCCTTGAGTCTAAACTACTGAAATCCATAAAAGCAATTCTAATTAAGTTAGAAACTCTTTTTATTTACTATAATAATTCAGAATAGTTTATCTAAAAGTTTGGGAAAATAAATATATTTAAAAATTAAAAATCTATATGATACGGGCATGAATGAAGCATTGTTACAGCAAAAACTGGTATTTTCCACTGCCTTGGAGCTGTGGAGGATTAGTGGGTCTCATGTAAGTGACCTGACCTCACTCAATGTCAGGTGGAGGTAGGGTTGGGGATTAGTTGTCCCATATTACTGATTTTCTGATGGATGTCAGGTCACCTTTCTTGGCTGGAGGATTAGTGGGTCTAATGACCTGAAGATGTCTGGAATAAACACGAAACATAAAGTATTTTTAGGGAGATAGTGAAGTATATTGCTTTACATTACATTTCAAAATATGGAGTGAGAAAGCAGAAAGGTGTGGGTGATTAGAGAGATGGAGTGGAAAGGAGTGCCAAGCGCTTCTCAACAGCTGATATTTTACTCACTACCATGCAGTCACACACAGCAAATTTTTCATACAATAAGACCCTCACTCATTCTTGCTGTCTTAATTCCTGTGTTGTGTGTGTGTGTGTGTGTGTGAGATGTTGGGGTGTGTGGGGATGGTTGTTGGTGGGTGTATGTGTGTGTGTGTGTGTGTGTGTGTGATGCAGGCGGCAAAGATCATGTCAGTGGTGCCACGTGAAAGTCTAAAGCCACATTGAGTTTCTGGGAGGAAGTTTTCCGTTCAGAAAGAAATCTGTTTAGGATAATCTTGCCAGCTACGGACAGCAGAGGGATCCCGCAGTAGTTGCCACAGTCTGATCAGTATCCCTTGTTCTTATAAATATTGATAATGGAGGCATCTTTAAGAGCTTGGAGGATTTCCTCATTTTCCCATATACAGTCATGCGCCAGGTAACGTCCAACCGAACAACGTCCTATTGCATATACGTCCGTGGGCCCCCTCACCCCCTCCCCCACCAAAAAACAAAAAACAAAAAAACACTTCCGTGATGCCTGCTGAACCACCACTCCACGACCCCCTGATGAAGACACGATGATCCTCCCCATACTGGCCAGATATTGTGTGTTAAAGGAATATCCTTCCTTAGGCTTAAGTAAGCATTTGCCTCCAGGTGTAATGTTAACCTACATCTATTAAGGATAAAATCTTTCACCTCCAAATTGACAAAATAACACATTTGCAGTAATCAGACATATTTAGTTGCCTCAACAATTGCAACCCCAGTTGCAATTGGGTTGTAATTTCAAATTCTGTGTCATTACTAAGGAATAACGAAGTCTCTGGTGCACTGCACTCTAAGATTAAGAGAAAACTGACTCAGGCGTCCTGAAGCGAGAGAAAACGGACTCCTATTATGGGGGACACAAGCACTCACACTGACAGACTTGACACTCACTTACTTGACAAGTTTTACCAACCATTAGTTGTGTACGTTATCTAGTGAATTTAGTCAATATTGTACCGTACAAGTACTGTACACTGCAATACAGTGGTCCCTCGGTTAACAATGGAACAAACCTGTACTGTACATGATTACAGTACAGTAGAAGTCCAAAAATCCGGACTGCTTGGGGATTGGGTCGGTCCGGATTTTCGGATTTTCCGGATTCTCAGGCAGTACTTTTAAAATTCAAATTTAAGGAAGAATAAAGAAGAGATGAACAGGTACATTTTGATAGTTTATTCATTAGCAAATATAGCATGCTTCATTTATCAAAACGAGCAGTTTTAATGAAAAAGCTGTGAATTCTAGAATTTTATTCCTTGCCTTTTTATATCATAAATTGTAGACTTTCCAATGTCGTATGTTTCCATTAGAACAGTATTGCTAACACCACATTCTAGTTTCTTAATTATTTCAAGTTTGTCACTCAATTTCAACGTGTTCTTCTTTCTCTTCACACAACGAAGTTTATCCACTTTAGGAGCCATTATTATGGGCTTGTACAGTACTCTGTAAATGGAAAGAGTAGGACTTAAAATATTGTTATATTACAATGGTATTCTATTCATACCGTGTTTGATATAATGCATTCACGGAAATGTAATATTTTTGCTGAAATGACGTACGTATTACAGTGGAAAGTGGGATAAAATTGTGACGAAAATAATGACTTTCGCTTTCTTTCGTTCAAAAGATGTTACCGTAATCGCTTTTCGAATGGTTTTCAGTTAAAAAACTGTTGTATTACAATAATATTCTATCCTAATTGACTTGAATAAATACTACGATACCATATTTCTGAATATTTCATTAAAATCCATCCAAATCATTTTCCTTGTCATCGTCTGCAGCACCATACAGCTTCTCCCAGTCCTCTCCTTGAACAGGGTTAGAGGGTACTTGTTTTTCGAATCGTTTTCAGTTAAAAAACTATTGCATCACACGTATATTTTACCTAAACTGCGCCTGAATGAAAATATTCTCGGAAATAAATAGTAGTTTTGCTGAAACGTGATGTATTCAAATGTAAACTAGGATAAAGTACATGACGAAAACAAAAGACTTTACCTAAGCTTCCGATGTTCTTGAGATGTTACTCGTTTTTTTAATAGTTTCCGGTTAAAATTCTGTTATATTACTATGATATTCTATTCATACTGTGCTTGATATAATACATTCATGGAAATGTAATATTTTTGCTGAAATTACGTACGTATTACAGTGGAAAGTGGGATAAAATCATGACGAAAACAATGACTTTCGTTTTCTTTCGTTCAAAAGATGTTACTGTAATCGCTTTTCGAATGGTTTAGTTAAAAAACTGTTGTATTACAATAACATTCCCTCCTAATTGACTTGAATAAATACTTGAATGGAAATATACAATATTTTTGGTGAAACTACCCGCGTTTCAGTGTAAAGTGTCGTAATAATAAATGGTAAACAATTTGCCTTCGGCACTCGTGTTTCAGGCACGGCGAGCCTCAGTTTATAGGACGTAGAGCGTTTTTACTGAAGGTTTTGTTGTTCCATTACCCTCAAACACGTGGGTCGAACTATAAACGAGGAATATCATAAATTAACGATTTCTTGGTCAAAAAATCAGGGTTGACCGATAAACGAGGGGGGGTTATAGACGAGTATATACGGTATGTTGTCACAGTTTGATTGCTCGTTTTAAAGTGGCGACCACGTGGTTGCTTGTTGTCGCTGTGCAGCTGTGGTGCTCACGCATGCGCACATACACACAAAAGCCCGCTAAAAAAAAAAAAAAAAATTAGTTTTCGAAAAGTCCGGATTCTCGGGTGGTCCGGATTTCTGGCATCCGGATTTTTGGACTTTTACTGTACTTAAGTTGTTATGTCTATTGCAAATATAGATTGTTTTAACAGGTATTCAAATAAATCACTATCTTACAAGAATCCCAGCAATGTAAGTTATATTCATCCAGGTCATTTGGGTGGCAAATTATGAGAAGAACTTAGTCACTCTTAAGTAATCATAAATAAACACGCAGGTCTTCAGCGCCAACTGTCAAATCTTATCTCAAATAAACAAACACCAGACACTCTGTCACCTCACCCTCCCCCCCTCTTCCCACACTCGCTGGCTACCTCCCTCCTTGTGTTCCCAGACAAAAGATTGGTGATAACTTTATTCTTTAAGGTAATTATTTTATATAATATCTCAGACTAAAGTTAGGAGATTATAATTTGCAGTGCTGGAATCCTTGCAAGACAGCCAATAATTTGAATATAAACATCATACATTTTGCTCAAGATATAAAAATTGTGGTACATAAGTGTATAATACTGTAGTACATTTTATAATATAAAGTTTTTCACCTGTATTTTTGGGTAGATTTACATAAATTTCTTCATTTATTTTCATCCATTTACATGCACACACCATACTAAAAGAAACATAGAAGAAATAAATGACCTTAGTGCAAAGCTGGAGTGTACATGTACTAACTTGATTATGGTACTAAAATTGTTATGTCTAGTGCAAATTACAGTGGGTATGCTATAACGAATCTAATTGATTCTAGAACCTTGTTCGTTATAGCATTCGCTTGTTATAGGATTAATCCGCCCAGGCCCCTCAAATACAACCACTTAACACTGAAAATATAATATAAAATTGTAAAAATTGTAAAAGTGCATAAATATGCATCTAAACCCCTGAAATAAAGAATATCATTAATATTTGTAATAATAAAACAATAAATTAGAAAAAAAAAATTAAATTATGTTGCTGTAGGAGTTTCG